TATCTTTCTAGAAGGTTTTGAAATTTATCAGAAGTGAAGGGTACATTGACTTTCTTGCTTCTACTACTGTGGGAATGGAGGCCACATCCAGATGGTTTCCCTGATGATAGAAAATGGGAATGAAGTAAATTGTAATGGGTGAACTTCTGCTTCTATAAAGAGATCTGTGGGTTTCTATTTGTACCTGTTTGAGGTATGGGAAAGAAATGATGGTAAAACGGGTGATGGGCTTCTGGATTTCAGAGGCTGAGTCTTATTCATTTCTCTACCTGCAACAATACGCTGTACTGTACAGAGAATATGCTAATTACATTGTGGGAGTGAAGTTAAACTTCTTGGGACTGTTTCAGGGAATACCTCTGAGGCGATTTAAAAGATTATTTTTAAATTATTAGAAAAGTTTTACGGAACCATGCTGATTCACTCTGAAGAAAAAAGAGCTATAGGGATGTTTTCAGCTGAATGGAAGTTTCTGATAGATTTAATGTAAGTAGGAAGTTATACACATCAAAACACTGATAAAGCAGAAGCTAAACTCATAAGTATTCAGAGACTCAGAGTCAGGTGGAGGAAGAGATCAATAGGTGAAGAAAAATGTAGAATATTCCAGAACCTTCTGTTTTTCTCTGCTCTAGAGATTTGTTTTTCTGCTTTTGTCTATGTAGGGATCCTGGTATTTCTCCTCCCCCTTCTTAGTCTGTTCCTTTAGTGGTTCTTGACTTGCTGATCTGATTAAGCCTGGTCATATTCTTTATCATATTTCTTGCTAAATTCACTTATTTATATCAAAGATGTTTAGAAAAATTCTGTAACAGTTAAATAAAATTTAAAAATATAAAGTTTCTAACAGTACACAGTAAGCGTTATGGTACACACTAAGAACTCAAGATTTGCTAGTGGGACAATGCCTTACAGCATACAAAACACTTTCTCACCTGTTATCCTCTTGTTCCTCATGAAGTTGTTGTTACCGAAAGATTGAAAATATGGTATATAACGCTCAAAGCCAGGGTTTACACTCAAAGTATGATTTGGAGCAGAAAGCTGGCAAATTTTTCTTTACTTAATAATTTGGGGGGCACCTGGGTGGCTCAGTTGGTTAAAGCCTCTGCCTTCAGCTCAGGTCATGATCCCAGGGTCCTGGGATCGAGCCCCGCATCGGGCTCTCTGCTCCGCAGGCAGCCTGTTTCCTCCTCTCTCTCTGCCTGCCTCTCTGCCTACATGTGATCTCTGTCTGTCAAATAAATAAATAAAATCTTAAAAAAAAAAAGATTCTCTCTTTAAAAAAAAAAAATAATAATTTGGTGTTGACATTCTTTATCCAGAACTGTACCCCCACTTTGATAAACTTGACTATAGCAGCTCGGTGAGAAAGATCAGTCTTCTTACCCTGAAGACATAACTTGTTTGTAATTTCTTAATTTCTCTCTTCACTCCCATGGCTATTTTATTTTCCTGCAATCTCATAAATAGTATACACACACACACACACACACACAAACACACACACATGTTTACGTATGTGTGTATATATATAATTTATATATATATAATTTATTATTATATATTTAATATATAATAAATATTTATTTATATATACTATTATTATATAAATATTTATATATGTGTGTGTATGTGTATATACATATATATACACATACACACACACACACACACACACACACACACAGAGTTCCTTTTGCGATTGCGATTTCCTTTTTCACCTTTAGCTATGATCTCTGGGCAGGCCTTTTGCCTACAGATGATGACGGTCTCCTCAGGGCAAGTCTTTTAACTATATGTCAGTTGGAAATAAGGCTATGTTGTGCAATAGCAGGACCTTAACTTGGAATGCATTTTGTGATGATAGCCCAGAATGGTGAAAAGACCCCTAAATGAAGTCTTGGGAGACCAGGGCTCTCAACAGCTCAGCTGTGTGTGTAATGATGCTTCAAGGAAGCTCTGATCCTTCTGTATCAGTTTTCTCATATCCAGAAAGAAGGCACTGGGTTTTACCTTCCAAGAGCCCTTCTAGCTATGAAGTTCTCTAGTTTATAAACACGAAAATGCTATTCCATCACCGGTGCGGATTTGTGCTTTTACATGTTTGTGAGGTATCATGGTAGGTGCTGAAGTTCCCTAGGAATCATGGGACAATGCTTGGTATAGTCTTTGCACCAGAAGATGTGTTCAGGGGGCTAATTTGATGCCTCTAAACTGAAGCCATAACCCAGAGGTTTCTTTCAGATCTTGTATGTCCTTGCCTGGATGAATGTCAGTAGCATCATGACCGTAGCTGTCTACACCATTTGTATAGTTACTGAGGTCATGAGGTGTCACATGGAAACATGCCAAAGAGCATAAGGTAAAACTGAGATTTAGAAAATGAAACTAGCTCATTCATAGTCACACAGCATTAAGCGTCAGAACAAAGACTCTAATAAAATTATACATGACATCCTATTCTTTGCATTTTTCACTATATTCTGTTACATCATATGCTATCTTTCATGGTGAGCCTAAGTAACTAATAGAATGCTCCTGGTCATAAAGGCATCTATATTCTCCATAATTATTCTAATGACATTTGACAGAACAGAAGATGACAGATTTTCATAGGTCTCTCGTACTGAAGTCTTTGCTGAGAAGCACTGCCTTAGTTCTACCTTTGGAGAGACTTCTTAGTTGCAGATTTATCTTCTTAAGATATCACCAGTGGAGCTTAAGAGAGAAGGTTGGCTGAATTTGTATACTTATTTGTTTATTTATTTTCTTTTAAAATTTAAATTCAATTAGCCAACATATAGTGTATCACTAGTTTCAGATGTAGTGTTCAATAATTCATCAGTTGCTTATAACACTCAGTGTTCATCACATCACATGCCCTCCTTAATGCCCATTACCCAATTACCTCATCCCCTCACCCACCACCCCTTTAGCAACTCTCTGTTTCCTATAGTCGTGTCTCATGGTTTTTCTCACTCTCTGATGACTTCCTATTGAGTTTTCCCTCCCTTCCCTATGATCCTCTTTTCTATTTCTTATATTCCATGTATGAGTGAAACCATATGATAATTGTCTTTCTCTGATTGACTTATTTCACTCAGCCTAATACTTCCAGTTCCGTCCAGGTCGATGTAAATAGTAAGTATTCATCCATTCTGATGGCTGAGTATGAACTTGTGTATTTAAAAGTATGCTACATTTCTGAGAAATGTCATTGTCATGCTCAATTGATTGGTTATTTAGAAATAGGGTCCCTCTTGAATTTCACACTTAAACTTCATTTGAGGTTTCCCTAAGGTAAAAGAATATAAAGTGTACTTATTAGAGAAGCTATCTTGGCATATTTCATTGCCTTTGGATAAAAGCAAAATTGCACCGAGCACATAAATTGACATATGAAGCAGTAAATAATTCCATAATAATTCCATTGTACAAGTTGTTTGAATGGACTAAAGCCAGAGTGCTCCATTAACCAGCATGCATAGAATATTCACTGAGCTTAGAGTTTATTACCAGGCCAGGGGGGAAAAAGAGAGAGAGAGAGAGAGAGTGAGAGAGAGAGAGAAAAGAAACAGAATGAAGGAACGTATGGGGGTGAGGGATGATAAATGTCAGCATAGCAGCTGGGAAGGTGAGAGGTTAGAAAAGGAACTTTAGAGGTATGTACAATATGTTTCTTTTCCTCTTTTCTTTTCTTTTTTTTCTTTGTGGGGGAAGGATTAAATTTAAAAAAATGGTTCAGTGTCAGCTTTCAAACATAATGATCAAAAATCTGAGAACTGGGCAGTAGAGTGAACCAGACTCTTTTCTTATTTCCTTTTGAAAATAGAATCTCAGAGATCAGCCAATGGGAAAGTGGGGTGGCATATGTCTATGTGTGAGATTGTGTTTATACACATCTCTACTTGGATAAACACCCAGAAGCCACAATAGCATTCCCAAAGGTATTCTTCCTTAATACAGGAAGTGACAGCTTTGTGAAGGTACCACAATTAAGCTCTGGGTTTTTATTCTAGATCCCAGGATTTAATTTCTAGAAGAAATAAGAGCTCTATGATGTTCCATGGGGCTGTTTAGAATTACAGGGAACTTAGTTTTAAAGCTTGTTGAATGCAAAGCACCTGAGCTTAGCTTAACCTCCAGGAATCTCTTTGCATTTAGAAATGTCTAAAACCACAAACCATAAATTCTGATGGGCACATGTAAAAGAAGAGACCACAGGAATTACAGTTTTGTTATTCAACGTGGCCACACTCTCCTGCCACAACTTCCCTCCCATCACTCCCAAGCTTCCTCTTGTTTTTGCACTTGGGTTTACCAGATGACCAGGCCTGGGTTATACCAGGTAGTGTGTGAAAAGACAGGCACAATTCCTTTATGAGCTTTGATATGTTTGTTTCTGCAACTTTGCTGCATGGAATGTGTGCAGAGAACAGAGAACCAAAGCTGAAGTCACAGATATTTTGAATAGGTCATCATCCCTCTTAAGGATCATATATACGCTACTGTTCTTGATGTCCCATGTCTCTTCTCAGTCATTTCCTGCTTGCATTTTTTTTTTCTTTTTTGTGGAAACTGGAACTGCTGTCATTCCCCTCCTTCCTGAAACTTCCTGCCACCTCAGCACTTCAGTTCCTGTCTGACCACCTTGAATCTTCCTGTCCCTTTCCCATTTAACCATTATCATCGGAATATTGGCATGAGATTAATATCCCTATTTCCATCCCTGGCTTTGGTCCTCAGCACCAAGTCACATTTCCAGCAAGGCATTTCCATATAGGATTCTCAACAACACCCAGAACTCATCATGTTTGGAACCAAATTTATCCTTTCATTCTCACCTCCTAAATTCCTGGAATAATCAATTAGTTAGTAGGCAAGTCATTTAGCATCATTATAAAGGTTAACTGAGACACTACCTTACTTTCCCATCTTTTTCTTTTTGTGTTAATCTAATGGCAATGGCTAATCTAAAGGAAATTCCTTTCTTGTAGGAGACAAGGAGAAGGCCTTAGGATCTACTGGGGGAGTCTGGAACAGCAGTCCCTCTTTTCCCGCTGGAACCCATGGTCCACTGAGGTGCCTTATGCGACCTTCACTGAGCACCCTATGAAGTATTCCAATGAGAAGTTCCTCGAAATTTGTGAGGTAGGCAGTTTGGGCATCACTCTTAGATCACCTTTGATGGTGAAGCTATGTGCTTCTAAAACATGTACTGTTCCAAAAAATAAACAAAAAAAAAAGCTAAGATACAACCTGGGTTTATACAGATACAAACTTTACAAGTTTTGCAGTACTTTTTAGTAAATAGTGGAGCTGTTTTATTTATTAAAAATATAAAGTGTCAGGGTGTCTAGGTGGCTCAGTGGGTTAAGCCTCTGCCTTCGGCTCAGGTCATGATCTCAGGGTCCTGGGATCAAGCCCCGCATTGGGCTCTCTGTTCAGCAGGGAGCCTGCTTCCCCCTCTCTTCTCTGCTTGCTTCTCTGCCTACTTGCGATCTCTCTCTCTGTCAAATAAATAAATAAAATCTTTTAAAAAATAAAAAATATATAATGCTTATATTAACCATATTGATTCCTCCTTGCTAATTTCTTACCAAAAATTAGAGTGTAATATTATTTAAAAATCACAATACTTGTGTCTGACTCTGTTTATTGCCGAAAGGATACATATAATTTTACGTATGTCATTAAATTCTAATTATTTTATTCAGAGAAGGAGTGTGGGATACTATGAAGTAAAGTCAGATATGGCTCTTTGGTCATGTTTGTCATTTTTCTTTCTGGACCTTGGTAGTCTCTTCTCTAAAATGGACATAATGATGATCACTGCCCTTCCTCCTAACTTCATTGGAGCACTGTAAGGTTAAATGGGATAATGTGTATATAAATGCTCCATACACGGTAAAGCAATCAGGAGTTAATTAAGAGTATTTTTATGTCTTTCCATCTCACCTCCCCAAATAGATTTTATCAGGGAGGGATAGTGGCAGGGAGAGTCTTTCTACTCTTCTTTCATCCCCCCCTAGGGAAATTCAGGCAGTGCTAGCACACTAAGTAGGCAGGAAGTAAAACAATTAGAGCTATAAATGCAGAGAAAGATCAGACTTTTATATTTTCAGTAAAATCCATATACACATAGGAGTGTGCTTATAGGCCAGAGGTAAACCTGGAGACCATAAGCCCCTAACTTCATTGGAGCACTGTAAGGTTAAATGGGATAGACGAAGAAATTCTTGCCTTCTCTGTCCTTTCTACATTTATTTTATATGCTGTCATTCACTTCCAAACATCACAACTCTCTATTTGGTATAAATTCAAAAATTAGCAACATACATCTAAAGTCCTTCTGTGAAGGGATGGCATGCATTGCATTGCCTGTGTTGTTTCCAACACACCTATTCATGCAAGTATGCATATGTATAAAAATATTTTTGATTGATAAGCCCCCTATTTTAAAAAGGATTTGAGGCAAAAACATATGTGATTATAGGATAGATGGAGTCTTCATTCTCCCTCATATATAGATGGAGTTGGCTTAAATCCCTTCTGCTCTCAGAAAGATCAATGGTCTTTACAAGATTGATGCAAACGTCCTCAGGGGCTTATGGTCTCCAGGTGAACCTCCAGCTAATTGCAGGCACTGAGTTAGTTCATTGTATGGATCATACATTGTATGTACATTGTATGGATCATGTAATAGTCCAGTTTCACGATGCTGCAAGCCCAAGCTTCATCATCAACATCAGCCCCTAACCTGACTCTACCACCCAAAAGCAACAAAACAGAACAAAATGAAAACCAATGAGAACAACAAAAACCATTACACAAAGGCATTGATGTGAGAGTAGACTTGCTGAGGGTTTCAGGGAGATGGAGTGGGAATTTATATCATAATGAGTCCAAACTTCACAGGGAATATCAGGTGTCCCTGTTTTTAAAATTCTTATTAATTATAATACTCTGATACATTGCTTCACAATCCTTTCTTCTCTCCTCTGGATCCTGTCTTCCTCCTCCCCAAACACTTGCCTTTTCTCTTCCTCTTTCCCTTCTTCTCCTTTCTTTTTCTTTCTCCTCCTTTTTCTTTTTTTCCCCCTTCTTCTTCTTCTCCTCCTCCTTCTTCTTTTCTTCTTATTAACAGTTCAGATTATTTTGTCTGTTTCTTTTTTTCTAACACCTGCTAATCCAACCCCAAATGCTTAATAATGTACTTTTCCAAAGTAATCTCCCACCTTTAAAGAAAGTCTAGTTCTGGTCATTAAAATAATATGTATTTTGCATTAATAGTAATTGTATTTTATTGTAAGTTAAAATAAATACCAACAGCCTTGGTTTCTACATCCATCACTTTCTGAGTCAAGTCTCTTATTCCTCATATCTGATGCATTAAGTGCTTACTCCTGGAGTGTCCTTTGCTGGAATACATTCAGGGTAAGGGATTAAAGAATAAGTTCTATTCACTGCAGAGAAATGGCACTGCATTACTCTAATTTCTGATGGTAATTTGTTTTATTCTGATATATATATATATATATATATATAAAGACAATAAAATAATTTTAAAAGGAAGATAAGAAACAAAATGTCAAATGGAGGGATAGAATAATTGACTTCCAAATACCATGAATGTGGTTAGTAGAATGGAATATTAATTTTACACAAGCCTTCTTATTAGTCAAGGCTAAAAGGAAAACTCAATATTTATAAAGCTCTTTTTAGATGGGAGTAAGATAGCAGGTATGTGTGTGTGCACTCAAGCTCCCATGTGTGGATGTGAGTATAATGAATGGTTGTTTAGTTGGTTGGTTTTCAGTCAATCAAACTATTTTGTGGATCTGTCAAGTGTATTTCCTTTAAGGTTTTTCTCTTAATCTACTCTTCCAAAGCTTTTTTTTTTTTTTTCCCACTTCCTGGCGACAGTCTGGCATTTTTCATTTGCCAAACTATTTCTTATTCAAAGGCCACCCCAAGTCCTGATTCTCTATGAAAACAAATGATCTCCATCTGTGATGTCAGATGATGAATACTCTGATCCAGTTCTTTGAGTCTTAATTTCTCTTTTGTTGTTGGTTTTATGTCACAATATTATTTGTGTTTAGGATATTTTCCAAGATGGGCCTTGATTAACACTCAGTTATATTAATGTAAATGAGTAAATAAGAAGAAAGATGATTCTGTGGACATATAATTCCTTTTATGTGAGTATTTTGGCATAACATAAGATTTTAAAAGGATGATATAAACTAGTTTTTCCATTCCCCTTATAAATAAATTGGGAAAAAGTGGAAAAATATGGGGAAATTGCATAACTAAATTGAATACCTGAAGTAATTTAACTCAATTTAACAAGTCTATTATAGCAGAGAAAAAGGAATCCTATAGAGCTGGGTTACATATAGTCAAAATTTTCAAATTATGTACAATCCAATGGAATAACTTATTTAAGAAATACGTTAAACAATCCAAAGTTATTCTTGCTCAGAGTCTTTTCTTGTATGGCACCTGAGATCTCCTTATTCAACAAGTATTTTGTGAAATCTACAAAGTATAGGTATTATTGTTCAGGATACAAACATAAATGAGACAAGATTCATATCTTTGTGGAAGACATTGTTTAACAGAGGAGGCAGATAAAAATGCAAAGATTTTTAAATGAGTACTAAGTTGATTAAACTAGAAGTTTAGATCAAATGAAGAGGAGTGGAGGCACATGAAGGTACAAGTAACATTCGTAGAAACAGGGTAATTTATTTTATCTGGAGTTTATGGAATTTTATCTTATATATTCCTATCATAATTATAATGGCTCAAATAATAGGCATAAGGGCTTAAGTTAAGGTCAGTAAGAATGGAGAGAAAATAAAGAAATTTTGAGATATTCAAGACACAGAATTAATGGAAGCAAGTAACTTACATGATATAGTAGGTGGAGGAGAGAAAGAGGTTGAAGATGATGTAGTTTCTGGTTTGGGTAGATGGTGATTCCATCAATTTCAATGGGGAAAACCGAAAGGAGTGTACGTTTGGAGGTTCAGTGTTGGACTTGTTGAGTTTAGGACGTCATGGAACATGGAGTTTAGTTGGTTTCAGGCAGCTAGAAATTTAGGTCTGAAGCTCAAGAGAGAAAGAAAAACTGGTAATAGAGGTCTCAAATCATATAACTTTGGGTCAAAGCTGAGTCATGGGCTTTGCTGATCAGGCAGTTACCATAGGAAAGATCATCAATGGACACATTAATTATGCTTAAATCCAAATTCATACAATCTCTAAGTCTCTTAACACTTATCTAAAAAATTACTATCAAATTTATGCAATACAGCTTCAAAATACATCATTTTTTTCTTGTATTCATCTCACTAACTCTATAGCACTCTACATCTGGCAGATATGATGGTCAAATGGCCTCTTTCCAGACATTCTTGCTTATCTCCGAGCCTCACCAACCCGTTTCAATCTGTGTATGCATATACTTTGCATTACTCATTTAAAACAGATGTAAAAATAGGAAATAATCATTTTTTGGCATTGACTTTCTTGTTACAAGATATAAAAATAATCTCATGTAATATTGTATAATCAGACGATATTTATTGATTACAGTTTGCATGTTTTCATGTAATTCAACTAACAAAAATCCTGTGAGGTCAAGATAGCTATCTCTATTTTTAAAATGAGTGTACTTAGAGTGATTAAATGAATTGACTAAGGTATTACAATAAAATGCTCTATTGCCAACCTAATCAATTTACTAGTAAATGAGGAAATGGGTATAAACCTGAAGAAATTCTTTGTGCATATGTGTATGTGTGTATTGATTGATGTAATGGAATGTGATATATTATACTTATGACAAGACTCAATTATCCTTGATTGTTTCATCCACTCTATATCTGTAATTTGTAGTCTCATTTCCCCTGTTTTAACTATTGCCTTGCTGGGTTCTTAGGATGTGTGGACAGTCTTGCTGGGGTGAACTAATGACCTAGTCCAGAGGTGGTGAATAATAGTGAATGGGTCATGAATGGTCTATAATCAAATTAAAGGGATCTATAGACCAATCACTTTTACTCTTTTCTGGCATATTTACCCTTCTTTTCAAGGGAAGTATGAAAGTGAATTCATGTTTTGGCAATCAAATGTAACTT